CCCCCCCCTCTTTTTGAGGGCTGGTGGGCCTGGAGGCAAAGTGGGTAGGGCCTAGAGTCACCGATGTCCAACCAGTGCGCCCCTAGGAAAAGTCCAAATACTCACTTTCCCAAGCAGTCATTATGCCGCTCCTCCCCCCACGGGTGAGCAGCGGTGGAAGAGGGAGCTTGGAGATGAGGGAGAGGACCTCCCTGGCTATGGAGGAGGTGGAATAGAACGGCGAAGAAGAAGGTTTTACTATGGAGATAGGCATTAGCGCCTACATTTGGCAAGGAAGAGGAAGAGAGGAGGACCCAGGGGAGGAAGAAGAGGGGAACCATGACGAAGACTTACCTTTGGCTATGGTGGACTACCCACCTCCACCCCCAGGTGTGGCACTCCATCAATAAGACCCTTTTGGGGTCCAAGGGTCTTCCGTGTGTAGTACGGCAGCGATGCACACTGTCAATGCAATCCACGAATGTCCGGCCGTTGCAGGGATAAGACCCTTGTCAGAACCTGAAATGGGCATGTGATGCAAAATGGCCAGTGAACACGCCAGACATGGACAAGGAAATGCCCATTTCAGGTTCTGTGGGGAGAGGCCGTGGCAGGGAGTGGAGTTTTGAGGGAGGCAAGGATGGGGCATGGGAAGAATGGGAGGCTGAGGGGATGGCCAGGTGCGTTTTCTCCGAGGAGGAGAAATGGGAATGGAGAACACGCCCTTTTTTTTTGTTTTGTTTTTACTTCCATTCCACAGACATGTAATCCATGAACTGGGGATGCTGAAGGTATGGTGACAAGAAGAGGGACAGCCGACATGGAGAGTATTCTTGTACTGTTCTTCTTCTCTCTCTCTCTCTCTCTCTCTCTCTCTCTCTCTCTCTCTCTCTCTCTCTCTCTCTCTCTCTCTCCCATTCTTCATCTGTATGTTGAAACGTGAGTACGGTACTTGTCTCAAAACTTGAGCATTGATCATGATTTGATCATTTGAACTAGGATCGTAGCACTGTGGGAGCCCTTGGATGTTCGGGGTGGTGGTCCCCACAGCACATGCCACAGTGGGGTTATCTGATTCTGCGGGTTTTAGGGGCCCTTGGGGGTCAATTAGGGACCATTAGGGGTCAGTTAGGGACCACTAGGGGTCAGTTAGGTCGCAGACATCATTCAACACCCACTGTTGCTTTTACCTCTGAATATTTGCTGTCATTGTTGTCATTATGCTCCATCACTGCTGAGGTTTGGATAAGTTCTTTGGAAGGAGGTTTGGGATATACCGAGGGCATACTCACACTAGGACTTTTCCCAGTTCTCTGTGGACGCAAATCCGGTCAAGTGCATTCAGGTCAGGTTGGAAAAGCTGTCATACACATCCAGGAAAGTCCTAGCACGAGTATGCCCCGAGCACAACAGTCAATCACCACCCAACTAACGCATCACCGGCCCCTCTTCACTTCTTGAGGCACATAATGTGAGAGTTCCCTTTTGTCAATTAGAACCAAAAAAAAAAAAAAAAAAAAAAAAAAAAAAAAAACGAGCATTTTATTATTTTACAGTTCTCACTCATTTCCCCCTTCTCCTTTTCGTATCTTTTTCTCTCTTAGTGGCAATCTCTATCACGTACATCTTTCTCATCCAATGTTTGAGAATCGATATTTACATCACATATATATACCACGATGTATATGAGTCGGTGAAACTGCGACGAAACAGTTTGTCACAGCCCCTCGTTCGTTTGTCCTCTTCTCCTTCCCTCTCTGCCTATGGTCTACCGGGCAGCTGCTCTGTTTGACATCCTCTTCTCCCTCTCTGCCTACTGTTTACCGGGCAGCTCTGTTTGACGATATCTATCTACCTATCTATAAAAGAAAAAAAGAAGAAAAGAAAAAGAGAAAAAAAGAAAAAAAGAAAAAAGAAAGAAAAAAAGAAAAAAAGAAGAAAAGAAAAAGAGAAAAAAAGAAAAAAAGAAAAAAGAAAGAAAAAAAGAAAAAAAGAAAAAAGATACGTTGATCTGTGGGATGTGTTATTTGCTTTGTGATAATTGGATTATCTTTCTTTCCCTATCTTTCTTTCCCTGTCAGGTTTGATTTCCTCCTCCCCTTCTTTACCTCTTTGCCTTTTGGCTTCGTGCAAGTGGGTCCTTGTGACACACGGGGATGGGGGCAGCCAGCGCTCAACCTGTCATCCACGTGGCTGGCCTTGTACGTAAG